TATCATATTCTTATTCAATACAAATATGAATAAACCTAGGTTTTAAATTCTCCATGCTCAGAAAGTATAAATGAGTAGGAACGAATCGAATATAGCAAGAAGTTGATGATGGTACTGAACTTTTTAATTGTGAAAAAATTGAACAATACTTTATTTCAGAATGAACATTTCCTTATTTGAGAATGAGTATTGTTTTTTTTAAAAATGAACACTACGCTATTTATTATAATTATATTAGACAAATGTGTAAAAATGAGTACTTTTTTATTTTAAAATGAGTACTACCTTTGCCGGAATGAGCACTACGTATTTCGAAATGAATGTTTATATTTGCACGAAAATGAGTACTACTTTATTTCAGAATGAGTACTACCGGGAGTACCGGGATGTACCTATTTCTAGGTACATCCGGATGTACCATATACCAACTTCTTTGCCATAGCCAATCCCGTGTAGCACATATATTCCTTCCATTTAATTCTATAACTTGTCCCTAAATTATTTTCTTGGTTATCCTTTTTTTATGAGTAAAATAAATTTCATAAAAGGTTCCCAGTTATAGTTCGTTTTAAATATTTAGTTCCTACATATCAAATATTACTAATTTAGTCCCCAATTATTATATCATTTTTCACAAATGGTCCTTTGTTAATGTTTTTGTTAAGAACATGGATACAATTGTATATTCATACTTCTCTCTCTCCACAATTAAGCTTCTTTCCTCCTCTCGTATTCTTTCCCAGACTCGTTGCTGAGTTTGAAGCTCTAAACCCAAAACTGAAATGATCACTCCTCTCTCAATTGTTAGTCTTCCTGGTGGAACGTAAAATCAAAACCAATAAGCTTTATGGATGAGTTTTATCGGTTAGTCTCAAGAAATTGCAAAAAAAATAAACATTAAAACTCATCCATGAATGTTACTGGTTTCGAATTTGGGTTCCACCAGTTCAACAAACAATTAAGAGAAGAGTGATGCTTTTAGTTTTGGGTTCAAAGATTCAAACTCAGCGACGGGTTTGGGAAAGGAGTGCGAGGGGACGGAGAAAGCTTAATTGAGGAGAGAAATGAGTGTGAATTTACAATTTTATCCATATTTTTAACGAAAATGTTAATAAAGGACTATTCGTTGAAATGAATCTAATAATTGGGGACTAAATTAGTAATATTTGATCTGTAGGGACTAAATATGTAAAACGACATATAACAGGAGACCTTTTATGGAATTTACTCTTATTAGTAATTATGTACTCATAATATTTTTTACATTCTACTCGGTATCATTTTGGCGTTAAATTAAAGGGTGTATTCAAATAAGATTTTATTGGATTTTTTTAAATTTTTAAAATTTTAGTGTATTCAATCTTGATTTTAAAAAGTCTTTAAAAATCCGAAGGTATTCAATAGGAATTTTCCAAAGTCTTTAAAAATATTGAAGTATTCAACTTAAATTTTCAAGAGTCTTTAAAAGTTTTAAGGTATTGAAGAATCTATGAATTTTAATACTCTATGGATTTTGTTGGATTTTCTCTCAAAAAATGCATAACATTTCACTCCTAAAAATCTCTTCTCACAACCCTAGATTTGTATGGACTTCCATCTGTCTGTCCTCAAGCATCCGTCCTCCATCCGTCCGTGCTTAATATTTAATCTCGTCCTCTATGTCTAGTGATATATTCTGACATCGACTTGACAGACAATATGATAATAATAACTATGATTGTAGCGTAAGATTCTGTCCAGGAACGATATATGTAAACTATGGCCGCAGTAGATACTGACTCTAATTGACAAACGAGGCATCAGCAGCGACCTCTGGCATTGGTGATGGCTAGAAAGATACATGATCATTGTAAAATAAAATTGTTAACCCTTAATGGAACACCAATAAAAAAGAACTTTTTGTGGAAATGTACCCATAAAGAAAGGCCCACAGACGTAGTATTTGATAATAGATGACTAAATATGAAAAACTCTTGTTATAAGGAATCAATTAGATAATTTACTCATTCTTTATTAACTTAACTAAAGTTGACAAATTATATACGGAGTACTACGTATGTAAAAATATATAACGAGTTACAGAGTAAATATAAAACTTATGTTATACCCTGTAGTAATATCTTTTTATTAATATATTTTAAGAGATACGAAGTATTATTTGTTGAGTTATACTTTCGTGATTTTAAAGTTCACATGTGAAATATAGACTTTCTTACATTTTTCATAAGGTGATAAGTGGATCTTTTTTTGTAAAAGGCCTAATTCTTTCATTGTGTCTATAGCTAAGGTTCATAAAATGAGTGTGGACTCAAGGACAACATAAGAATTGTCTTTACTAATCAAGCATTTAAATGGAAAAACAAACTGGGAGTAAAAAAAATGGATGAACATATACTCATTCTCAAACTATATATTCATTCAGTTCTAGCTACTTCTTCCACCCTCATATATTTTACAATTTTTGACTTACGAAATAAAATCTCATATTTTTAAATAATGGTACGGTCTATGAAGAAGTAAAGGTACGTAGGCATGGTCGATGATGACGAGGGGGCAGTGGTGTACTAGGGAGTAGAGGATGGTGGGGGAAGGCAGTGGTGGTGGTGGCGGCTTGAGAAGTGGACTAGGGGAGTGGAGAAAAAAGAAAATCAATTGTGGTCTTATTTTGGTGAAGAGAGTATGTTTTACACTTATTTGGAGCATTTCTCTTTTGTAGCACATGGTATATATCCTAGAGTAGTGAGCAACATTTGCCAATGCAATTCTTCGATATATTTGCACAACATCATGAATCACAACAAAAAGATGTTGAAGTGCACGGAGAAAATTGCAAGACATTTGCACAACATCACGAATCACAACAAAAGGATGTTGAGCAAGCTTTCAAAGTCTTTCAACAACAACTTTTGGCAGCTTGTGTGCCTGAAATGTTTAGTGATTGTTTTTATGATGAGGTCCGACGATGTGCTCAAGGCAACCGCCCCTAAGCCTATACTAAAGATAGCCCTACACCTAAGAGATTTAATTAAAAGAGAATTCAACTTCGTGACATGCAAAACATACTTTACAAATAATATTTTATTTTGTTTTTGATATTTCCACTATGCATTGTTGAACATATTTTAATTGTGTCATGTCTGCCCCTTGTATGGATTAACATTTTAATTATGCACTTTGGTACAATATTTTTCAGTTATTTAATATAATTTGCCATATTTTAAACTTTTATTTTTATTATTAACCATAGTACCCGGAGTTATACTTTCAATATGATCCATGTATTGATAATATGGCGAGTGACAATATTGGAATAAAGAGTCCCCCTCTCCTTTTTGCATTTTATGATACAAAGCTCATTTAGGATGCAAAAAGTATGCGGAGTTTAAAGAGAGCAAAATAGATCCCTCCATAGAGGTTGCTCTCATATCAAAACATATAGTTAGAGTTCGTAAATAAATATCTTTGTACTATAACATTGAAAAAAAGGTTTTGATTCTTCTTGGTAAGAAAGAGCTAACTGAACCATTTTACCCCTTAAAAAAAACTACTACTCCGTATATTTTTTACTCAAAGAGATTCCGTTGACACCAGTCTCGATTGAAACTACCATGCCACTGGGATTTTGGGACATGTACAGTGCTCCGTTCGTAAAATTAATGATTCTTACCCTCTTAACTCCCACCCTAGCCCTGCCCGAACCCACCCCTCAACTCATTCAATTTCGTCCTCAAAGTTTTGTTGACTTTGGGCAGTTTGGGGTTGAAAAATTAAACCCCAAAGTCAATAAAACTTTTAGGACGAAATTGAAGGGATTGGGGGGAGGGAGTTCGGGTTTACCTGGGACAAGGGGTTCAACGGGTAAGAATCATCAAATTTACAAACAAAGCACTGTAGATGCTTTGATTGGAGCCAATGTCATCCGTAGAACCTAGCCATTTTTATTTGATATGCAATGTAATATTTATTCAACAACAACAACAACATCCCAGTTGAATCCCACTACAGGCAATGTAATATTTATTCAATTGATGATTAAAGTTTGTCGAGTTTAACGATAAAAAGTCAAACTGGATATATACTCGAAGACGGGGAGAATTAAGAACCAAACGCCACCTAACATACTTGCTAATCCTTTCTCTACCACATGAAATTTGGGTCCTAATATAATCCAAGCGTTATACATATATGTATCTGTCATCTGAACTAGTTTCACAACTATCAAAATGAACATTCTTTGGTACACTATCATACACAGCAGCATCCAGTCAGTCAGTCTATGCCGCCTTGAAGAAACTTTAAGGCACTGAGGAATTCAATTCATGCTGCTAGGATTGCTTGTTCTTACTCTGTCTATTATCATTTGCATACCGGACAAATCTTGTGCGTAACCAACGACCTGTAACGAAGCACAATTGCCATTGAATAAGTCTGGCCCATGCACATTATTATTATGCCAAACTCAATACAACAGTTCTAGTGCAAAAGAAGATGGAACCTGTGACTCCGTTTGGGGGTCGCTAAATGCATCATAAATGGCAGCGGGTATATCTTCATGAAGAACTTGAGATTCGTCTTTTTTATCGAACCTGATAATTAAAAAAGAGTAAAGGAGAGAATTTTACCCCTCTGACAAGTGCAACTGCAGAGTTACGAAGGTTGGCTCTCGACAACCTTCTAACCAAAAACAATAACAATTCCAATCATAACAATAACTATAGTATTAGTAATAGTAGTAGTTGGCCTTAAAGATCAAATTTACCCTTCCACTTTTAATGGTTAGCTATAAAATCATCACTTACACTATTCACTTTATTTAACACTATTCATCCAATTATTCCATCCAAGGGTAAACGTGAAAAGTCAATGTTTTTTTCATGCTTCTTTAGCATGTGCGAAACAATTAATTTAATCTGGGAAACGATTTCCTAGATAGAGGGAGAGTGTGTGTGTGTGTCATGGTTATTGGTTATTACGAAAGAATTAAGCACACATGAAGATACAGCAAATTAAGGCATTTAGTCCTTCACAAGGGTAAGGCACTACCCAAATGCCTACCCTACATCCTAATCTAAGACCTCTAGACGTTCTTATCTAAGGTCATATTTTCAGTTAACTCTTGAAGCTGCAAGTCATGTCTAATCACCTCTTTCCAACTCTTCTTACAGTTCTTAGGTCTACCTCTATACCCCTACTCACGTCTCCTATTACAAGCTTGCCGCACCACTTCACCAAAGCATCCGTACTTGTCCTTAGTACGTGCCCAGACTATGTCAATCAATCTCCACGCAGTCTATCGTCCACAGAGACCACTCCCACCTTCTTCTAATTATCTTAAGTTGGAACCTTGTCCAAACTTATATGACCACACATCCATCTTTGCATCCTCGTCTCTGTCACTCGAAGCTTCTGAACATAAGCATTCTCCACCACCAAACACTCCACTCAAAACAGCATAGCAGGTCTAACTACCGGTTGAACTTATATATATGGGGGGCTGGGGTGGCGGGTTTAGAGGGTGGGTTAGCGGGGGTAGGAACCATTAATTTTACGAACGGAGCACTATAGGTGCCTCAATTGAATTAGTGTCACCACTGGTGTAATAATGTGTTTGTGTAATTTTAACCTTCCTCACATATATATATATATATATATATATATATATATATATTTTATTTATTTATTTATATATATACACACACACACACATACATACATATATGTGTGTGTGTGTGTGTGTGTGTGTGTGTGTGTGTGTATATATATATAGATTTTGGTTCTGGTGAGAATGCAATCTTAGGAGAGAAATGAGAATGAATCTGGTGTTTTAAATTGCGAGATATAAGGATCAAGATTTCATCAAAATTAGATGCACCAAAATAGTGC